CCTCCAGGATGCCTAATTACTCGCTCAGGGGAAAAGCGGCGAGGCTTTGGGAACTCCTGCTACGCCGCCCTATCGAAGAGAGAGATCCGTATGCGCTAGGGCAAAATTTTTCTTTTACTTTAACCTCCGATAAAAAATTAATAGTGAAAAAGGCGGAAAAAACCTCAGATCAACTTACAAAGGCGTCCACGTTCACGGCAAGGCATGCCAACATGCTGCCGACGGTATACTTATATATTCGCAAAACTTTGTTTATTTCATTGATGAGGAAATATCTTAAAGTTCAAAGTTGGAAAAAACCGCAAGTACCTATTACTTTTAAGAGATGTGCAACAGATATTAAATGCAGATTTGCGAGCCTTTTTAGCGGTATATAGTTCATTTTCAATCATTTCGACTAACACACATCTCCTTATGAGAAAACTGAAAACTACAAAACTCGAATAAACGAGATTAACCAGTTTATCAGTTTTACTGGCAAAGCAGAAAACTATAATCCGCTCTAACCTCGTATAAGGGTACTGCGTGGGTGACATCATCGCCGGAATCTAGTACAACACCTGTGCTTCGGCCGGATGCGTACAATGATAGCGCACTCTGATGACTGACATACATGGCTGGCGTATTGAAGGTCTCAAACATAATCTGCAAATGAGGGAAGATAAGAATGCCGCCAACTTATCTTGAGCTCTCTACCTGAGTTAACCTTTGTCTGTTGCTTTTTGGATTCATTGCTGCTTCGGTAAGGTGGATTGGGTGCTCATCAGGCTTTATTTTGAGCTCTTTATAGAATATGTAATGCCAAATTTTTTCCATATCTTCCCAATTTTCGATTATGCCATGCTTAATTGGATAGCTAATGTCGAGAATACCTGAAGGAGAACTTGTATTGAATAATGTTTATAACTTCTTTCTGCAAACCTTTTTTAGATTGTGTCTCATTTCCTATATATGTGTCTTTTTCTAACGTTTTCGCCAATAGACGTTGACGGCAACGTCTGCCGACAATCGACGGAAAAACAACTCTTGGAGCATGTTCCCCAGCAAATCCAGCCTTGCAGATTCCTGATCCATTGTCGATCACGATAGCTACCGCTTCGTTTTGCATCAAGTGCATTATGTTGCAAATGATGAGAGGCGTGAAAGAATTAAGGAATGATGTTTCTGGTTGCCTCAAAAGAGTTGTTTATCGTTGAGCTTATTGAGCTCATCAATGGTGAAATCCTCTTAAGATACAAGGAAGTCACAAAAAATGCTTCATTAATATTGCAATAAACGTTAAGGTTCTTGCAAAAATTCTTGTCCCTGTGCTTTGACGTCGGCTTTTGATAATATACCTAAGAGTTTCTGCTAATATAAAAATGTATGGATTTGTTCTACTCGCATTGGAAGTAAATAATATGGCCTATGATAGAAAATGCTTTTATAAGGTAGCAGATACTCTCCTCTTCAGCAATATGCTTCAAATGCATATCCAGAAATTTAATCCACATTATTGAGTGTGATGTTTGTTAAATGTTGGAGTAACCGCGCACACGTTGGATCTAGAATTAGTGACGAAGGAAAAGCTTTCGTCATTCATTTTTATCAG